GTATGTCTGGGTGTGTGTGTGAGTACATGCCTAAGTGTATGTACCTACTTGTATATGTTTTTTTTGTGTGTGTTTAGTACGTGTTTTTGAACATAGAAATATTTGGTCCTTCTTGAAATGAGACAATCGTTATATTCATCTTCATATATTTATATTTGATTTATAACCTGTAGTCTATACTAATTTTCCCAATTACAAAGCGGCCCTTTAAGTAAACACAATTTTATTTTCCTTCGTCCCATCTCTCTCCCCAACCCTTTCTTTTTTTTTTTTTTTTCCTTCTATCCGATTTGTCTGTGGTGTGTATATGTCACCACGAAATGTATCTTTATGTATTAGACATCCGGCGACTTTCTTTCTCTCCTCTTTTAAATCCACTCCACCCACATCTCCAAAAACTCTCTCTGTTAAGGTTTCATGTCACTCCTCCTCATACTTACTTTCTCTAAATTCTGTTTTTGATTTCCGGAGTTGTTTTTTTTCTGTTTTCATTTTTGAATTTGTAGGTCTGATGATTTGGATCGTATTTACGATTCCAATGGAATAAATTATGACCATGGAATATTAGTGTTTAAGCCTTTTTATTATATATATATATATATATGTGCACACCATATATTATGGATGCATGGCTGAGTGGTTAGAATGTATGCTTTCTGACCATTAGAGCCGGGTTCGAATCTCACCATGGTCGATTTGTCAGGATGGAGACTTCCTGATGTTATCGGAATTGATCAAAGAGGTCAATTCTAGCATGTGGCACCTTGGGAAGTACCTGAAAATCATACCATAGGTTGATCCAAGTCTTGTGAGTGAAATTGAGTTGTTGATAGCTGTGCTAGCACAAAGTCACAAGTCATCATGGCTGAGGGCTTGAGCGTGCTGGCCTTGTTCAAATTGTTGTTCATGCTAGATAACACGCTCTTTCCCAGAAACTGTAACTAAGGTCTGCTCAGCATAGTTGCAGTATAAACCACAGGTAGGGCTCTGTGAATATTGAGCAAAGACAAATGGGCGTCTGCAGTAGGGATTGGCTAGCCGCCCTAGTAGATGGGTATCCTCGAATATGAGTGGCCAGCTGTCACTATTATACTGCACAGTCAACAAAATCAAAAAATACAATATAAATGTGCAAAATTATAAATATAAAATGGCACTAATTTACCCATCACACCACTTCTCACAAGGTATTTTTAATTTCTTTATTTTAAATGTTTGGCTAAATGTATCTATTGACAAAACCTACTGCTGGGGGCTGCCCACATGTATTTGGTAAACCTAAATATCATACAGAAAAACACTATACACTCCATTCTTGGCACTAACTTATCATTTTTTGCCATTTTTATCTTCAAGAAGTGTGCATACAAATATAGCATGGTTGGCATCTTTCAGCTTTATTTGAAAGTAAATATGTATTGTTTGAAAAAATATTAAATCATCCATTACTGTTATCTGCTGATCTCCAATAAAACACCAATTGATGATACCTGTTGTTTAACACATTTCATCTTCTATATGCCATGTCTCTTCAGGATGCTGACGATCATGGCTCTCCACAATTTCCCGTCCTTTGTAGCAGTTAGTAAAGTTTGTCTTTTTGCTATATGAAAAAATTAACAAACCTTATTAACACATTAGTTAATAAGGAAAACTTTGGGGACATTGAACTATCCAAAGAAACATTTGGTAAATAATAATAATAATAATAATAATAATAATAATAATAAATTGTTATTAAAGACCACAAACAAAAACGGTGCCTCCTTATTGATATGGCAGTCCCTGCTGACTGCAATGTATCTTTGAAGATATTCAAAAAGCTGTCAAAATACAAGAACCTTGAAATAGAAATCTCGAAAATGTGGCATATGGGAACATTAACAATCCCTGTTGTAGTTGGAGCCCTAGGACATGTTGGAAAAGATTGCAGTAGACTAATTGAAGGGATTCCTCGAAGTCCATGCCTCAAAGAAATACAAAAAATTGTTCTGACAAGTACAGCCCACACTTTATGAAGGACTTTATCTATGTAATATTTTTTTTTTTTTTTGTCAGTGGAAAGTGTCATGATGCCATTTCTAACCTTAGGTCCCTGGGCCGGACCCGGAAAGAAATGTGTAAACGCCAGAAATCAAAGAAAATAAAAATAATAATAATAATAAAAAATAACAACAACAAAGATATTCATTATCATCAACAACTACTTTATCAACATCGTCATCCTCAACAACATCATCAGGATGCTGGCAATCATGGCTCTCCACAACTTCCTTTCCTTTGTAGCACTAAGCAAAGTTTGTCTTTTTGCTATATCTCCTAATCCCTATTTTGCCAACCATTTACTCAAACCAGTTAGATAGGTTTCGCTCTGCTTTACTTTGTTTCTCTTGCCTTAAATATGTCCTGTGAGTGTAACATTTTCTAAGCACTCTTTCCTTATTACATGTTCTAGAAATTTCAACTCTTTCTGATTCCTAGTATAACTCTCCTTTTTGTTTCTGTTAAAACTTGGTTGTTGCTCACATGTTCAGTCCATGGTATTTTCAGCATCCTCAGGTCTCTTCTTCATCTGTAAGGAGATTATTCAGCATTTACTGCCATATAGAAGGACTTATATTACATAAGAGTTCAGAACTCTTTTCATTGTTTCCAATTAGATTTTCCTGTTTCTTAATACTTTGCTTCATGTTTGGAAGGCATCTTTCGCTATCCCAATGCACCTTCAGATTTCAGTATTGCATTTTGCATCATTTTTTTTTTTTTTCATTTTTTTAATCATTTCATTCAAAGCTAGGCAACAGGGTCAGTGCAGGGGATTACTTAGTGTGAAAAGAATGTGAGAAAAACATTATCATGAGTGAGAACAGTAAAAGAATAGAATTTAAGAGGAAAGAATAAAACGCTTAACATTGCATTTACATTTTTGAAGATCAAACCTGACTGGAAAGCAGGAAGCCAGAAGAGAATTCCACAAGTGAGAAGTGCGAGAAAGGGAATGATTAGTACAGAACTTAAGGCTACATGTTGCCATTTCATCCATCAGAACATTTGCCATGAAATTATTTATAGAAAAGATATAGGGAAGTTAAATTATGTTGGTGCGAAAGTGACTGAAACTGACATGTCAGGTCAAGAACTTCTGTTTAAACACTTCCTAGATATTTACATTTTTGCACTTGTTTAATTTTGTTATTTATGTGTTGGGCTATTTCTTTTGCTGTCAATCATGTTTTCTGTCTTTTTGCAATTGATGTTTAATCTTTTCTTTTTTGCCTTCCTTCATTACCTTCCATTGGAAAGTGCTCAGTAGAACTACATTCCTTGGTTTCGCCTTTTCTAACCTTCATAACTAGGACCCGCCACACCACTCATATAGTAGCAAATCACCCTCATTCCTCACCATATTCCACTGGTGAGAAGTAAGTTTCACTCAAACTGCTTATTGCCACGAATCACTGCTCTATGGGACCAACACCCAAAGAGGATGCTTCCCTGATTACTAAAATCTTAACCTGTTCAAGTCTAGGGTTAACAATTATCTTCCTCTTCTATTCAAATAAACTGCCTCTTAATGCAACCCTCTATCTCAAGTTGCCCGTCGGCCTTGTACAAGTTGAACCTTACTCTAAAAAATAAGAAAGAAAAAAAAACATTCTGCATTCTTTGAGTGTGAAAGAATAAAAGAAAAATCATAATTAAGGGGTTGTAACAATAAAAGAACAGAAGTTAAGAAGATTGAAGATAACGATTGGCATTGCATTTAAACTTTTGAAGATCAAACTTGACTGGCAAGTAAGAAAGCAGAAGGGAGATCCACAAGCGAGACGTGCGGGTGGGAAGAAACTGTCAGCATAGAACTTGCGGTTATATTTAGCCCTTTTCACAGTAAAATGATGAGACCTTGCCGCCAATCTAGCACTGCGCTTATATTCATCAAGTCTAGGTACGATTGTGGAAAGATCATCTGAACAATTACCTACATTATTAACATTATTTGGACTATTGTCCTCATCTTTGTCGCCATATTTATTATAATGTTTGGCCTTCTTCAGGTGGTTGGAATGTCAAAGTGAACCCTTTATTTTGCTCACTGGGGTAGACTGTTCTACTGTGCCATGTGTTCTCAAGGACACATGGCACAGTGGATAAAGGAGTTGGTTAGATCCAGTGACAGAACCCAAAGAGTGTGAGTTCAATACCCAGTTAAGGCAGTGGAGAACTTTGAGAGGGGAATTAACAAGAGATAACTGATAACTGACATCCATTAAACTTGGCACGTGGAACTAGAACAGTCTACCTCAGTGAGTGAAATAAAGGGTTCAGTTCGAGATTCCAACCACCTGAAGAAGGCTGGAGCATACAATGGTCGAAACGTAATAAATATAGCGATAAAGATGAGGACAATAGTCCGAATAATGTAAATAATGTACATATTACCTCATCTCAGAAATATAGACAGATACTAAAGGGCCAAAACGTTGTAATAAATATGTTAACAAAGATGAGGACAATAGTCCGAATAATGTAAATAGTGTACATAATACCTCATCTCAGAAATATAGACAGATACTAAAGGGCCAAAACGTTGTAATAAATATGTTAACAAAGATGAGGACAATAGTCCGAATAATGTAAATAGTGTACATAATACGTCATCTCAGAAATATAGACAGATACTGAAAAATTATGGTGGAAATATTTGTAGAATGAAAGCTACATTACGGTGGTAGGAAAGTGACTCAAGCCGGAATGCCAGGTCAGGACCAATAACATTGCAGATTCTTCTTTGCATTTTATCTAGAGTCTTTAAATACATTATAGAAGCACCAGAATAACTTTAAAAAAAAAGAAGAAAGAAAAAAAAAACATTCTGCATTCCTTGCAGTTTCCTTTCTGCTGTGTCAGTTATTTTGTGGTAAGATTCTGACTGCTAATAATGAATCAGGGATAACAAATATAATGTGGTCATTTATTCCAGGTTAATTATGCAGGATTTTATGCTCACACTAAAAAAATATCCCCTCTTTTATTTTGTTCTCCTTCATCTTTTCCAGTTGCCTTTGTTTTTATATTGTTCTTCTTTTTATTTTTTTGATTCTTTTTTCATTTTCTTCTTCTATCTTTTCCTTTCTCATCCACCTTCCGTTGCTTCTTCCTCTTCATCTATTTTTCTCTATTGTTGTTCCTCCCCTTCTTTTTTTCCATTCTTTTTTTTTTTCATCTTTTCTTTTTCTTTTTCTATCTTTTCCTTTCTCAACCTTCTTGCTTTGCTTCTTTTTCCTCATCTTTATTTTCTAAATTGTTCTTTTACTCTTTCTTTTTCATTCTTTTTCGCCTTCTATCATTTTCTTTCTCAACCTTCTTTATTTTCTTTCTCCTCGTCTTTGTTTTCTTCATTGTTCTTTCTTTTCTTCCATATTTTCTTTTTCTTTTTCTCCTTTATTTTTTCCTTTCTCAACCTTCTTTCTTTCCTTCTTTCTTCATCTTTGTTTCTTCATTGTTCTTCCTTTATTTTCTTCCATTTTTCTTTTTCAACTCCTTTATTTTTCCTTTCTCAACCTTCTTTCTTTCCTTCTTTCTCCTCATCTTTGTTTCTTCATTGTTCTTCTACTTTTCTTTTCTTCCATATATTCTTTTTCTTTTTCTCCTTTATTTTTTCCTTTCTCAACCTTCTTTCTTTCCTTCTTTCTCCTCATCTTTGTTTCTTCATTGTTCTTCTACTCTTTCTTTTCTTCCATATTTTCTTTTTCTTTTTCTCCTTTATTTTTTCCTTTCTCAACCTTCTTTCTTTCCTTCTTTCTCCTCATCTTTGTTTCTTCATTGTTCTTCTACTCTTTCTTTTCTTCCATATTTTCTTTTTCTTTTTCTCCTTTATTTTTTTCCTTTCTCAACCTTCTTTCTTTCCTTTTTCTCCTCATCTTTGTTTCTTCATTGTTTTCTACTCAACCTTTTCTTCCATTTTTCTTCTTTTCTTCTTTATTTTTCCTTTCTCAACCTTCTTTCTTTCCTTCTTTCTCCTCATCTTTGTTTCTTCATTGTTCTTCTACTCTTTCTTTTCTTCCATATTTTCTTTTTTTTTTTTTCTTTATTTTTCCTTTTTCTCAAACTTCTTTTTTCCTTCTTTCTCCTCATCTTTGTTTCTTCATTTTTTTCCTTTTCTTTTCTTCCATATTTTCTTTTTTTTTTTTTCATTTATTTTTCCTTTCTCAACCTTCTTTTTCCTTCTTTCTCCTCATCTTTGTTTCTTCATTGTTCTTCTTTTTTTCTTTTCTTCCATATTTTTTTTCTTTTTCTCCTTTTATTTTTCCTTTCTCAACCTTCTTTCTTTCCTTCTTTCTCCTCATCTTTGTTTCTTCATTGTTCTTCTACTCTTTCTTTTCTTCCATATTTTCTTTTTCTTTTTCTCCTTTATTTTTTCCTTTCTCAAACTTCTTTCTTTCCTTCTTTCTCCTCATCTTTGTTTCTTCATTGTTTTTCTACTCTTTCTTTTCTTCCATATTTTCTTTTTCTTTTTCTCCTTTATTTTTTCCTTTCTCAACCTTCTTTCTTTCCTTCTTTCTCCTCATCTTTGTTTCTTCATTGTTTTTCTACTCTTTCTTTTCTTCCATATTTTCTCTTTCTTTTTCTTCTTTATTTTTTCCTTTCTCAACCTTCTTTCTTTCCTTCTTTCTCCTCATCTTTGTTTCTTCATTGTTCTTTTTCTTTTTTTCTTCCATATTTTCTTTTCTTTTTCTTCTTTATTTTTTCCTTTCTCAAACTTCTTTCTTTCCTTCTTTCTCCTCATTTTTGTTTCTTCATTGTTTTTTCTACTCTTTCTTTTCTTCCATATTTTCTTTTTCTTTTCTTCTTTATTTTTCCTTTCTCAACCTTCTTTCTTTCCTTCTTTCTCCTCATCTTTGTTTCTTCATTGTTCTTCTTCTACTCTTTCTTTTCTTCCATATTTTCTTTTCTTTTTTTTCTTCTTTTTTTTTCAACCTTCTTTCTTTCCTTCTTTCTCCTCATCTTTGTTTTCTTCATTGTTTTTCTCTTTCTTTTCTTCCATATTTTCTTTTTCTTTTCTTCTTTATTTTTTCCTTTCTCAACCTCCTTTTCTTTCCTTCTTTCTCCTCATCTTTGTTTCTTCATTGTTTTTCTACTCTTTCTTTTCTTCCATATTTTCTCTTTCTTTTCTTCTTTTTTTTTCTTTTCTCAACCTTTTTCTTTCCTTCTTTCTCCTCATCTTTGTTTCTTCATTGTTTTTCTACTTCTTTTTCCTCATATTTTCTTTTTCTTCTTTATTTTTCTTTCTCAACCTTCTTTCTTTCCTTTTCTCCTCATCTTTGTTTCTTCATTGTTCTACTCTTTCTTCTTTTCCATAATTTTTTTCTATCTTTTCTTTTTCTTTCTGTCTTTTATCATTTGTTTTTCACCATCTTTCTCTTTGCTTCTTTCTCCTCATCTTCGTACTTACTTAACACCTTGAACCACCTCACCACAATTAATCCACTTCTGGCTACTTCCATCTCCACTTTATTCATTTTCAGACAGAGCTAATTTTTCCAACTGACAAAACAATTTAATGTAAATTGACAGTGTGTACATATTTGTAACTTTTATTTTTTTTTTAGGCGGGGGGAACAATTTAATTTTTTTCTTTTTCATCGTTAGTTTCTTTTTAATTTCATTATGACTTCTTTTTTTTTTGTTTCTTCTTTTTAGTGTTTTAAATTTTTGCCCAATTTTTAGCGAACCTCTTCAGCCATTTTTTTGTTTTAACTCAAGTTTAACTTTCATTGTCTTTTTACTTCTTCCACTCGTCTATTTTTTATTTTACATATATTTTGTGTTTTATTGTTTGCCAATATGTCACCCTATTCTTTCATCAACTTTCTCTTTCATCTCATACTCATTTTCTTAAAATTTCTTTTTCTTCCCTTTCATCAACTTTCTCTTTCATTTCACTCATTTTCTTTAACCTTCTTTCTTTCCTTTTCATTAACATTCTCTTTCATCTCACACTCATTATTCATTAACCTTCTTCTTGTTCCTTTCTTTCCCTTTCATCAACCTTCTCTTTCATCTCAATCTCATTTTCTTAAACCTTTCCTTTTCTTTCATCAATCTTCTCTTTCATTTCATGCTAATTTTCTATAACTTTCTTTTTTTTTCCATTTCCTTAACCTTCTCCCTCTTATTCCCATTAAGATTTTACTTGTTCACTTCCATCAACTTCCTCTTTCGTCTCACACTCAATATTCATCAACATTTTCCTTCTTTCCTTCCTTTTCATCAACCTTCTCTTTCATCTCATACTCATTTTCTTTAACCTTCTTTCTTTCCTTTTCAGTTAACATTCTCTTCCCTCTCACACTCAATATTCATTAGCCTTTTTCTTCTTCTTTTCTTTCCTTTTCCTCAACCTCCTCTTTCATCTAACTCTCATTTTCTTTAACCTTCTTTCTTCCCCTTTCATTAACATCCTCTTTTGTCTCACTCTCAATATCCATTAACCACTTTCTTCCTTTCCTTTCCTTCCATATACTTTCTCTTTCATCTCTCTTTCATTTTTTTAAACCTTCTTTCTTGCTCCTTTCATCAACCTTCTCTTTAATTTTTTGCTCATTCTCTTTAACTTTCTTTTTCTTTTCCTTCCCTTTTATTAACCTTCTCTTTCACATCACTCTCAATATTCATTGACCTTCTTCTTTTTAGTGTTCTTCTCTTCCTTCGTTCCGACCAACCTTCTTTTTCATCTCTTTCTCATTTTCATTAACCCTCATTTTCAATATCTCTCTTGTATCTTATTCATCTCAAAACCTCTTTCTATGTTTTATTTCTTTCCTTATTGCAATCCTGTTTATAAATCATGTTTTTTTTTTCTTCATTTCATTTTTCGTCATATACTTTTTCTTTCCAGTTTTCTTTTAATTCCATTTTTACTCTTTTTTTTTTTTCTTTCAAAACTTCTTCCATCTTTCTTCTCATTTATTCTCTTCGTTATTCGTTTCCCTTTCTCACCTGTCGTGGTCAACCATTTACTTTTTGTTCTTTTTATTTCATGAATTTATTTCTTTCTGCTTTTTTTTTTATCCCATAATTTACCCCAACCCGTGATTTTTTTTTCTTTATTTTCCATTAATTTGTAAACAAATTCTATCTCTTACACCATAATCTTTTCTGCACATTGCTTTCATTTTCATCACAAAATTCTTTCTTTCCCCCACATCCTTTTCATTCTTCCACTTTTCTTACGAAAACTCTCATGCAAATCAATTCCGTATATGGTAGTAATTAGATTCTGTCTTTCATTTTATTGTTTTGATTATACATACACACACATACATACATATATATATATATATATATATATATATATATATATATATATATATATATATATATATATATATATATATATATATATATATATATATATATATATATTTTTTACTTTGTCCGTTATCAATTCGTCCAATTTGCTAAAATGTGCATTTTTGGTGGTAATCATTACAAAGTAAGAGAAAACTAAATAGGCGACAAAATGCTGCACATGAGACAGATGGGGGAGGAGCGTACAGGGAAAAGAGGAGTTAGTGTAGATGGGGAGGAGCGTACAGGGAAAAGGGGAGTTAGTGTAGATGGGGAGGAAATAACAATAATGTAACGCAATGAAATATAATACCGAAAAAATATAATATTGCATAAAATAAAGTAGAAAACAGAAATAGAAAAAGATTGTATCTTGGCGAAATTGCTGATTATCTGCACCTCAAATTCAATCTATTCTGTAATTTGATAATCGGAAATAATTTGCCAATGCCAGAACTTGCTTGAAGCTCGTTGTTATTGCCGTTGCTTGACCCCCTACAGCACTGAGGGCCACTTGTTTATGGAACGACAAAATGTGAAGATACTCTGACAGGTTGGCTTCCGAGTTTATTTATTATTATCAGCAAGTTTGCTGTTATTTCGCATCAGCTAAAAGATGAGATTAATGGGAAAATGTTAAGAAACAGGAAAATTCCATATGAAAAACAAAGACAAAAGTTCAGAACTGCTATGTGGTATCAATCCTTCTATATGTATGCAGACAATTTCCTCACAGAAGCGGCAAGAGAGACTTGGTTCTACAGAATGATACTAAGTATACAATAAATAGAGCATGTGAACAACAGTAAAGTTTTTTAAACAAAGATGGAAAAAAAAAATATAGTTGAAATTTCTTGGGCACATGATGAGGAAAGAAGGCTTTAAGAATTTGAGACTCACAGGGTAGATTAAAGACAAGAGTGACAGAGAAAAAAGCAATGACTAACAATCTTGTGTAAATGGATAACAGAACAAGGAATGGGAGGGATAGTAAAAAACAAATATTGCTTAGAGCTGCAAAGGAGAGGAAGTTGTGGAGAGCCATGATCATTCTCATCCCAATGGGACACAGCCCATAGAAGATCCTAATAAAGTTGCATTCACTTCTATTGATGATTTACAGAAATGTCCTCTTCTCTTCTCTGTGCACTGTCTTTTCAGGACGTAGGCGATCATGGCTCGCCACAACTTCCTCTCCTATGTACTATTTAGAAATGTTTGCTTTTTTACTATACTATACTGAGTTTATTTATTATTACCAGCAAGTTTGCTGCTATTTCACATTGGCAAAAAGATAATTAATGAGGAAGTTGTGGAGAGCTATGATTGCTTACATCCTGAAGGGACACAGCACATAGAAGAAAATCCCTGATACAGTTGTACCCTCTTTTATTGATGATCTACATAAATATCTTCTTTTTCTTCTCCTCTGTGCACTGTCCCTTCAGGACATTGGCAATCATGGCTCTCCACAATCTCCTCGAGTTTGTACCACTTAGAAATGTTTACTTTTTTACTATACTATGCTGATCTGACATCTAATTAGATTTCTTGATCTAACTTCCTGTTCTGCCATCCATTCATACAAGCACATTAGTTAGGTTACTCACTCTTTCCTTCTTGCTTTCACTAGGTCTTTGAGTCTCAACTTTCATCCATGGCATTCCTAGCATCCTTCTGTAGCACCACATTTCTGTGGCCTCAAGTTTCCTTTTCATCTGTGAGGTACTTGTCCAGTATATACTACCACAGAGGAGGATTGATATTACATCGCAGTTCGGTACTCTTTTTTTTTTTCTCGGTACACTGTTTTTTTTTTATTTCTAATGAATTTTTTTCTGGTTCTTAATATTTTGTTTAACATTTGGTAGGTATCTTTAGCTATTTCAAAGAATCTTACCATTTTCCATCCTCTGTTAAACACTTCCCAGGTATTTAATATCAGTACTAGCTTTATGTTGACATTTCCAACTTGAATTTTATATCTTGGGCTGTTCAACTTTCTCATAACCGTAAAATCTGTCTTCCTACAATTGCTGTTTAGTCCTTTTTTCATGCTTTTCATTTATTACTTTGTCTAGCAGAAAAAGGATACAAACAGTAAAGACAAACCTCTCATCAACAGACTAATAGGGGGCATTAAAGCCAATTGTCTGTAGATAAGAAGGGTTATTTTTGAGTTATAAAACCACT